TTTGTTTTCAAAGCAAAATGTTATATGACTTCAACGTGATTTCAACCAAATATCAACATCTGCACAACCGAAGAATTTCAACCAAATCTCAACCTAATTTCAACCAATGTTCACTTTTGTTCAATGTTGATTTTTGACGTTGAAACAACGTTGAAGCTTCAACGTTGCCTCAACTTTCATTTGCAACCAAAAATCAACCATAAATCAACCAAAAATTCAACCCATTTTCAACGTTTATTCAACGTTGAAAATTGACGTTGAAACAACGTTATATCTCAACGTTGACTCAACTTTCATATGCAACCAAAATTCAACGTTGATTCAACGTTGAAGTGCAACGTTGATTCAACGTTGAATCAACGTTGAAATGCCTGCTGGGTGAGGGCTTTACAATTTTTTCCTGCTGCTTAAAACATATTGTTGAATGAAATGTAGAAAGTTAAAAGCCACTTGGGCGTGTGAATCACATGAAAGTTTGAAAATCCGCTAAATGATGATGTTAATCAAATATAGAGTTGGTCTATAAGCTAATTAATGATATATCAGGAGGTACCAGTTTATGAAGTTAAGCTGCTTGAAACTTCAATGCCAGTGAAGGGTCCGGGCTATCCACGACTATTGAATAAAATCTTTAATATACGAAAGTTATTAAGAATAAATATAAATATACAGTGTATTGTTTATATGAATTATAACTATTAAGTAATGATGCGAGAGGCCGAATCATGATATAAAGATTTATAGATATAACATGATCAGATGATATTAAGATGAACGTCTAGCATATTAAGTTAAATGGGGTTATCAATTTCATGTATTTTCTCATTACTAGATGCCTCCTCCGACTGTCTTAAAGCGGAGACACTCTCTGCGGGGGAAAGACTTGTTCCCCGTCATCAAAGAGCTGCGAGGGCTAGAACAGCCGGTGAAGCAGTTTGCGCGGTACAAAATTAACACGCCGCTTGAAGACATGGACAAAGAGGAAGTGATTAACGCCTTCAGGGAGTTGACCGGAGAGTCAGAAAAGACTGCCTGCAGATGGCAGGTAGAGAGATGTCAGACGAGAATTTAAGGACGCTTCTTCATCTAGTTATCTTAAGGGCGAATGAGTTCGGCCAACCAGCTGGCCAAGAATTAGCCGCCGAGAACAAGGTATACAGTTAGACTGTAATGATAATTAGTGTAATTATTACTAGCATCATAACTACGGGATGTCTTAATCAATATTCATTATTCCATTAATTATACTTGTGTAGATAAATTAAAAAATAAATAAATAAATAAAAAAAAAATAAATAAATAAATTAAGAAAAAAAAAAAAATTTCATTATGATTGGTTTTCACAATTATTTGTGTACAGGAGAGTGAGCCGGAAGAGCCACCTCCCAAGAAAGGAAAGTCGGCATCGAGCGTTGAGAAGAGACTACAGGAACTTGAGAAAAGTCAGAAAAATGAAGAGGACAAAGAAATAGAGAATGTGAAAGAAAAGGTGAGGAGTTTGGCACTTCAAAGCAGCCCTAGTATCCCTCTTCTCCTTGTTACTTTGGATGAGCTCGCCAGAATAACTAGGCGGAAGGGCCATGATGAGGCCTCCGTGTTTGATGAGCTTTCCCGACAGGCTAATTTAAATCAAGACAAAATTGATGTCCCAAACTTTTGTCTGAGTGTCCTTGGAGGCAAAGCGTCTGATATAGTAGATAAAGCGCTGTCTAAAGCTATCAAATCAAAACCCGAAACGAAACCTTCAGAAACGGAGAAGACTCCAACTCAAACTCAATCTCCACTATTGAATCTACATGGTCAACCAAACTACATGGGATATATTCCACCACACTACAATTTTGTACCTGGTTCGCACGGAGTGGGTTCTCAGTATGGGTACCGCCGATACCAGCGCGCTCCATATCGGCAACCGAGGACCGGCTGTCTATTCTGCGGGGCAAATGACCACTATGTCCGAGACTGTACGAAAATGAAGGCTGCGAGAGGGAAAATGAATTCTCAATGACATCTGAAAATTTTAAAGAACTGATCTAGTCAATTTCAATTAATTTCTCACACTTGAAATGTACATTTATTGGTAATTTCTTCAAGTAAAATATGATATTAATTATCACTTGTCAATGATTTGAATACATGTACATGTAGTGTGTTTTCAGTCTGAAAGTAGAATTAATTAAATATCAAATGAAATGAGTGTTATTGGTATTTGTTATCCCAATACCTGATATCCGGGGACACTGAAGCCCTAGTAAGTACTCTCACGTGGATTGATGGTTTGGGATCATGTTTTCCCATGTTATCCTAGTAGATGATGCTCAAATCAGAGGTATAATTATTAGTAATAATAAATATCTCATGTTTGCAGGAATTTAACATTTACGTTCCTGACTGGGAGAAAAGTGACGAATTTAACCCAGAGAAAATTATTTTACGTAAGAGAGAGCATCCTACTTGGACGACATTGGGAGAATACGGTTCCAAGCCAACAATCCATGTAGAGGGACAAGTATTTACGGATTCTTACAGCGATTTACTGCATTTGTCTGTAAGAAATCCTGATCGATTCATTTCGGGTGAAAGTCACGAACACAAAGGTGAATGGTTGCGTATAACTCAAAGAAACTCGGACAAAATGTCAACTACAATTCAAAATTGGGTCAATAATGGCATTGATGTTAGGTCCTTCCTGCGTCCTTTCAAGGGAAACTTCAAGGGGCAATCATATGATAATAGACTCCCACCAAAACAGTATTTTCAAAATTCTAAAACTTGCAGAAACTTTGTTCATTTTATTAGTGAAGAAATAAGTGAGAGACTAGTGAATGGTTCATTGAGATTATGGGGAAGGGTGGGAACAAGCTGTCTCCCTCAGATTATCATGCCGTTGACAGTGGAGCCAAATAAGCCACGACTCTGTCATGACGAGCGCTTTTTGAACTTGTGGACTAAGGATTTACCCTTCACATTAGATACACTTAAAGACGTTCATAGACTTGTTGGGGAACATGCTTACATGATGTGTTGCGATGAAAAATCCAGATACGATCATATTAAACTCACCAGAGAATCAGAAACGTACTTTGGAATTCAGTTTGGGGGATGGGTCTTCACATACACAACTCTACCATTTGGTTGGAAAGCCTCTCCCTACATATATCAAATGATTGGGATGCAAATCACATCATATCTTCGAGAGAAAGGTATTCATATGGTTCAGTACATTGATGACAGGCTTGCAGTGTGTCAGCAATATGTTCAATCAGAAATTCAACAACAAGCTTGTCCGTTACAAATGGTGAAACTTATTGTGACCGAATTAACAGCCTTAGGATATACACTAGCTATCAAAAAGTGCCAGCTTATCCCAACTACAGTAGTCCGATACTTAGTTTTTCTAGTTGACTCTACTAAACAGGCCTATTTACTTCCATTGGATAAAAAGGAAGCATTCATCAGAATACGAGAGAGTATCTTGCAAACAAATGAAGTTGATGTTAAAACACCTCAACGATTCGCCGGGAAATGTATATCAATGGCAATCGTTACACCAGGTGCCAAATTATATACAAGGGAAATGAATTTCGCGATATCACTGTGTATGAAGAATAGTAAACAAACAATCATTTCTCGTGAGCTGCGACAAGAGATCGAACACTGGAGGTTTTTGGACGACTGGGAAGGCTTCGCGCCTTGGAGACAAGAGAAACATCTTCAAATGTCATTGTCAACGGACGCATCCTCTTTCCGCTATGGAATCTCCCTTATGTCAGGCCAAGACAAGGGTTTGTCTTTTGGAGACTATTGGTCAAGCGAGGATGAAAGACCGATTCATCTTAAGGAAGCATCAGCTGTCGACATTGCCCTTAAGTCCTTAGCGATGAAAATCAAAGACCACAGATTAGACATCCATGTTGACAATACCGCAGTCTTGCATGCTTGGGAAAATCAAAGGTCACGGGACCGGCATTTGGCTGATATAATGAAAAATATATTCCAGACAGTTTGGAAACTGAATATTGACTTGAGATTACACTACGTGCCCTCAGCAGAAAATACTGCAGACGCTCCATCTAGAACTATTTCTTACACAGATTGCATGCTACATCCCCAAACATGACAGAGGGTTGAGACTATGTTTGGACCACATACAGTAGATTTGATGGCGACACCCCTGCAAGACGATCATGAATAATTCATGAATTTCCTTGAATTTTTCATGAATTTTATTCATGAAATGTTCATGAAGATCCTATGAACTTATTATTGGACATTTTCAAATCATGAATTTTTATTCATGAAAGAAAATTGATGAATATTCATGAATATTTTTTTTCATGAATAATTCATGAAGAGTCATATTCATGAAGATTCATCATTTCAAGAATGTCCAATAATAAGTTCATTGCATCTTCATGAACTATTCATGAATAATTTGATGAATTTTTTCAGGAATGTTCATGAATGAATAAAATTCATGAACCATTAGTATTCATGAATATTCTTGCTTATTTGTAAACAAAAAATGCAATATTATTATTCATGTTTATTCATGAAAATGCATGAAGTCATGCTAAAAAAGTAACAGTAGATGATTTATAATACAGCATCTTGAAAGATGTCACAGAAATGTTGTTTGTTTTCCAACCATGGCAACAAAATCTTTGTTAAAAAACTTAAAATAGACAATTCTGACACATTAAACCATAGTAAATGAGAAATGTAGTTCATTCCTGGTAAAAGTATAAAAAATTTCAATTCAAATGCAACTCTTTGCAGAATGTTTAACCTTACTTGGTCAAAAGGAGAGGGGGATCCTTATCCTCAGCATGTTTCAAATTGTGTTTTAATGCCAGAAATTAAACAGTTTTTAATTCCAGTCTAGGAGAAAAGTTTGTTCAGCACCAGGGTAACAGTTTTCAGTGCTTTCAAGCAGTTTGAGCAGAGATGGTCAATTCAAAAATCCTTATTGTCTCTCCATGTGGAATTTCCAGAATTTCATCATTTGGATCCTTTGATTGAATATCATTCATATTTTCATTTCTTTTTTTCTTTCTTTTTCAAGAGCTCAGATTTTTGTGCAGCCCGAGTTTCTTGTCTTCTGCTCATCAACATTTGTGAACTGCTTCTCTTTTTCCTTCAAAAAGAAAGATTTTCTGAAAGTACTTATGATTGTAAAACATAAGACTTTTTTGTATTTTCTTGCATTTTAGTTTCATTTAATTTTGCATCAGAGACACTTCCAAATTAAAACATTCTGAGTGGAATTTAAGCCTATTTTCTTGGACCGCCATTATGTAGATCAATCAGGCCTATGAATGTTTTGAGTCTCAGTCTATAATTAATGTGTTATATGGTTGGATCCAAACTCAAAGCAAAGTTAGACAAAAATTGCATTAAAAAAGAGACATATTAATTTATCATAATGTGCTTTAATCATTTTAATTAGTTGTTATTTTACAAATAGACAGTAACATTTACAGACAGATTTCTGACTCAGTGATTGCCTCCATTTTTTGTCACTCACCAGTTATGAAGTAGATCGATCCTATATATAGTCTTTCTTCTTCATATTCTGTTATTTTCTTAAAAAGTTGACAAAGATCAGTGACTGTACTGTTTATTGGACACACCTTGTGAGAGGGTGAAAAACTACAAATTACAAAAGCATAATAAGAATTTGATAAAATATCAAAATCATAAGCAATCATACAAAACTAAATGCGTAACTTTAACATGTGAGCTGAACTGGCCTATGCCTATCGCATGCTGGAAATGCGCGGTTTTACAAAACATTGTAGTTGCAGAATTTAAACATGATAAAATATATTGCATAATACTGTTAGATACAGATGATCAAGTTAGATATAAATTCAAGTAAAACAATATAAAACTTACTCCTTAGGGAGGCCAACATCACCAAACTTAACAGCCAAAACGCCAAGCAAACCGCATGGCTACCATAATTAGTATAAACAGAATATTGAACCCGATCGAAATAAAATTATGCAATACGAAAACGGCACTGTGATTATGCAAATAATAGATCACAAATACTGATTCTTCCACTCTACAAATTCCCACTTCCAACGTCTCGCGCGTTTTCAAGTTTGCGCCTATTCAAAAATGTACGGTAGAGCTAAGAAATACGTTAGTTTCGAATTTCCAAGATTTCTGTTTAAAAAAATTACAAACACTATCTGAATAATTTTTCACTGAAAATACAATTTTTTTTATATTAAAATAAGTTTTATCAATGAAGAATTCGAATTTTTTACGTCATAAATTATACATGTATTGACTTTTAGTTTCGTATAGCAAGTATGGAGGCCCCCTATGATATGGTAATAACAATCTCTCGCCCTCAGACAGAATATTCTGAGCTGTGAAGACACATAGGAGAATTAAAACTACAAAATACGAATGTGGATTATGTCATAGATACTTTACAACCATGCAGTCTGTGCTCTATCATTTACGCACGAAGCAAGGGAAACTTTTCAATCTTTTGACATTTTAACTGCACCAAAATTGAAATGTATATAGCGTTTCGATCCAGGAATAATACGGTACAGTACAGACAAGTGATATAATTTTTTAGTTGTTAATAAATATATAAAACGTTTTTTACGCAGCTCACAAAGTTCATTTTCCAGAATGTTTCATTTTCCAACAACTTGTTTAAAGTTTGATGTTAGAGAAAATTCGGTCGAACAAAGTTGTGTGATGAAAAAAGACATTAATTAAAGCACATTATGATGAATATAACTGTTTAATTTAAATTATGAAGAAACACAAGTAATGAATTTGAAAAAAAAATGCTGTCAATGGTGATGCACTGTTTGTTTAATTAAAATCAAATAAAAACACGAAATGTTTAGAGATTTCATGATTTATTTTTTCAGATGGTGAAAGAATGTTATTAACTATGAATTATACCAGGGGCTTGTTCAACAATTGCATCTGCATGCAAAAGTTGTAATATGAGAGTATTGAGTGTTTTCTGTCAATCATTTTTGTCAATTATTTTAGTCTTCATGAAAATTCATGAACATTCATAATACCTTGAACTCTACATTTTTTCTGTCTTTAAAATGAAAATTACCAATATTCATATATATTCATCATTTGTTCATGAACTACATTTTATGAATATATTCATGAATAAAGTTCATGAACCATCTTTATGAACCAGTCATGAACCAGTCATGAACACATCATGAATGTTCATGAACGATTCATAAAAGTTCCTGAAATTATGAATTTCACCTCGCAGGGGCAGATACGAATGTAATGATATCCAACTTTGGAGTTCCACTGAGACATTTCACTCAAAACCCTACTCCACAATCAGCGGGTGTTAATGTATTTGCACAAGATCTGTCAAGTGAGAAGCGTCCCTACGTGTTTCCTCCATTTCACCTCATATTCCCCGTACTGTGTCTCCTTAAAGAACAAAAAGTAAAAGAGTGTACAATTATTGTGCCAATAATGTACCCGCGACCAATTTGGTGGCCACTTTTGAGTGCTCACTGTGTAAATCTTTTCACGTTAGGTAAACAAGGCGATAAAACTGTATTGCTTATTCCATCCAAAAAAGGGTTTACTTCCGATAAACTGGGACTAAAATGGGAACTTCAAGCATGTAGAGTGAATTTTAGCTGAAATTATAATAAAATTACGGACTCTTATTTTGTAGATGGAAGATAATGAAGTTGACCTTCCTGCTATTGACAAGAGATTAAGCCAGCTTGAAAAGAACGAGGACAATAAAAAGGCCACAAAGAAGATGAAAAAACTTGGAAAGAAGGGTACGACTTTTCTTATCGCAGTTACCAACCTCTCCGGATTTAACAAGTATGACGCCACAAGACGTGTGCCGATTTATGGTATGGAGTGATAGATTCGGGAAGACGAAGATACACGGGATCTCGTGTCCACACTTGGGTAAATTAGGTTTATTTGAATGCACATGTCCTACTAGGCTCGCAACAGGAACTATTCATAATATGGTTCAACAGATATCTAAGATATTGTATGTACATGGAAAAACTCGATCATGGGATGTTCATACTAAGTCAGGGAATCCCTGCTTGTCCCCGGAAGTAAAAAACTATGTAAAATTCTGTAAAGAAGAACAGGCAAAGTCCCATGTGTTACCTAAACAAGCCAAACCGATATTTTTAGGAAAGATAAAGAAAATGACCCTGTTTATTGATAGAGAATTTGCTCGCCCTGACCTTTCTTTAAGGGAAAAGTTTGTCTTGATTAGAGATCAAGCGATATTCAAAATTTAGTTCTTTGCCGGGGATAGGATCAGCGATGTTTGCAATATTTTATCGCAGGAAGTTAAAAAAATTGCAGGATAACTCCGGATTTGTTTTCGATCACACCTACGGGAAGACATTACGTGGAGATGGAAAGTCAAACACCTTTGTCATAAAAAGGTCCCAAGATAAGTCAATCTGTCCTGTCTTAGGTCTTGAGAACTACTATGCCTGGTCCAAACAGAATAACGTGGATCTGAGTCTAGGATATCTCTTTAGGCCCGTATCAGAATCAGGGCGAGTACTGGATCAACAGCTGGGTTACTCGGCAATTTATGAACGGCTTCGGTTTTACCTGGTATCTTTGGGTATTTATGAAGGAGAAACCCCACACAGTCTACGAGGAGGTTTTGCTGTAACCATGGCGATCTCAGGCACTGCGACATCTCCCCAGGAACTCATGAAGCATGTCGGATGGTCGAGTGAACGGTCAGCTTATTATTACAGCAGGACGAAAACCTTGACAGATGCTAGCACATTAGCAAGCAATATTGCCAACCTATCAGCAGACACAGACGAAATTGAAGGATTTTACAAAACACATGGAGAATTTTCCTCACTTAGTCCAGCCTTCAAGCCGACAAATTAAAGAATATGATGTGGTCAACCTCACACGCTTATGTTTAATACCTACTGGTTGTTCAAAAGATCACCTGATCACTCAATTATATTTTATATAATCAATTAATGTTGTTAAATAACACCCTTTGTATTTCAATTTCATGTCTTGACACAAATAATTATATGGGAAAAAAAAAATGTTTTGTTATTTACTTTAAGTGAGTATTGGGTAGAGACATTTACCTGGATGTACCCTTTATTTTCATAATTTAGTCAAGAACACACTCATATATCAGTCTAAATGAAATTACCCAATACTTTAATAGAAGTGCGTGTTGTTTCAGATAGTTGTTAGTGGGGATATGTTAGGATCCCCACTGAGAACGGCTGATAACAAGGAGCACCATCACTTGACGACTTGCAGAGCAATCTTACCAAGGTGTAAGCCAGGGTGATGTGTATTGATGCATCGTCCGCTAATCAATACAATATGTGGGTGCAAATGTCTGGTCTCGGAAAAAAAAGAAAAAAAAAATCAATTATTAACAACACACACTTCCCAAGTCTAAATGAAATTACCCGATACTATAATAGAAGTGCGTGTTGTTTCAGATAGTTGTTAGTGGCGATATGTTAGCATCCCATTCGAGAATTTTTCACTCGTACAGAAGGGCTTGAAACTTACACCTTTACTTGGCATTCGGGGCCATTGAACAGTGAGGGATCTTTATTTTGCCAACGCTTCAAATTTTAAGGACTCATCCGAAGGACCCGCCACTTTCACTTCATAGTATCGAGCGCATTATTGATAGTGATAGTTTATATACTCAGTAATTTATCTGAAGAGCGCTTCAAGGTCCTTGGGCCTCTTGTTTTTATCGAATTAGGTCAGTTACGGCCATGAATCGAACTGACGGTCGTTCATGGTAGCTCAGTCGGCAGCGCGCACTTGCTTCATAATCAGGAGGTCGTGAGTTCTAATCTCGGGCGCGCTGACCTAAGTCGATGATTGATGGGTAGCAACTGTTCCTTCGCAATGCGCTCAGCACTTTGAATTGAAAGTTGCGGGTTCCTTCGGATGAGACGTTAAACTGAGGCCCCGTGTCACGACAGACGTTGGCACGATCTAAAGAGGCACTGCTCAACAGCCCCAAGTGCTGAGAAATTTGAAGTCCTTCACCGGTGTATGGTAACGTCTTTAAATGAGTAAATAATTCTCGAATGGGACGTAAAACAGCATACAATCAATCACATATGATGACGGACACAAAGATCGAATATGGGGTTTTCATGGTCAGTTTTCAGTCAAAATGGTCATATAGAATTTGATCAGTCGCTGTACATTTGTTTCATACTGTTGTAGTTAAATTAAATGTTAGATGCAAAAGTTAATAGCGCATTATAATGATCAATAGATATCTTCTGGAATAGCTTTTATCATCGGGTGTTTTTTAAGACGGAAGTGTTTGACGGGAAGCAAAGGAAATCACGATTACATGTAACCATGCTTTAATTACAGATTATGCAATTTAATTAATGTAGGCATTGTTTGTTACAGACCTTGTTTTCAGTCGGATAAACATGTCTAGACTACGATTCAATAAAACGTGTATTTTTAAGGAGTCCATTTACGTATAAAAAGTTCCTTTTTTTAAATTAAAATTTTATGATCCGGATCTAATAATGAATTAAGATTTTGATATCACATTTACTTTTGTGTTTCTAGTACCTGCAAATGACATGTTTTACTTCAACATTTTCCTTAAATACTCTATGAAAAGTAATATTTAATTTGATTTAGCGCAATTTCTAATGTTCCTATTTATGTATATATGGTCAAGACATTTAGCGTGTACCTGAATTTAGCGTGAGTTTCTCTCCGCCAAAGGCGCTAAAAAGAATACACAGCCAAATGTAATACGTTTACAGTAATTTATCTGAAGAGCGATTTAAGGCCCTTGGGCCTCTTGTTTTTATCGAATTAGGTCAGTTACGGCCATGAATCGAACTGACGGTCGTTCATGGTAGCTTAGTCTGCAGCGCGCACTTGCTTCATAATCAGGAGGTCGTGAGTTCGAATCTCGGCCGCGCTGACCTAAGTCGTTAATTGATGGGTAGCAACTGTTCCTTCGCAATGCGCTCAGCACTTTGAGTTGAAAGTTGCGGGTCCTTCGGATGAGACGTTAAACTGAGGCCCCGTGTCACGACAGACATTGACATATAGAATTTGATCAATCACTGTACATTTGTTTCATACTGTTGTAGTTAAACTAAAAGTTATTCCTGATGAAAAAGATGCAAAAGTTAATAGCGCATTATAACTGGAATAGCTTTTATTATCGGGTGTTTTTTTTTAAGAGGAAGTGTTTGACGGGAGGCAAAGGAAATCACAATTAACCATGCTTTAATTACAGATTATACTATTTAATTAATGTAGGCATTGTTTGTTACAGACCGTGGGCTTTCAGTCGGATAAACATGTCTACCATAAAAAACGTGTATTTTTAAGGAGTACACGTGTATAAAAAGTTCGTTTTTATTTAATTAAAATTTTAAGATCCAGATGTAATAATGAATTCAGATTTTAATATCACAATTACTTTTGTGGTACCGGTACCTGCAAACGACATGATTTCCTTCAACATTTTCCTTAAATACTCTACGAACAGTAATACTAAATGTTAATTAAATGAATCATAGACATCTGCTACTTATAAATATATTTTTTAAAAATCCTTAACTTGTAATTGGTTATCAATAAATTTGCTTAGATTCCTCAATAAGGAACTCTGGGGTTGATATTAAAATGATGTCTTATTTCATCATCTACATTTTATATATATAAATAGTCTTTGGAGACCAGTTCCTCAAGACAAATTTCGGTGGGCGCTTAGTGTTTTTTTTATTGACCGACCATTGAAGCAGAATTAATTCAAAAACTTCAACACAAGAAGAACACACCTAGCTGCTGTGACTCACGTCTTGACATTCAGATATAACGACGACATAATTAATCAAGAACGAGGTAAATTATTGACAAACAAGTTGATGAAACAAGAATATCAGCAGTCTCGTTTAAAGTCATTTTGCAAGGTCTATGATCGATACAATGATCGTGTCAGCAAATATAATTTATCATTGAGTCAAATCTTGACTGGCGTCTTTCATACCAATTGTTAGTCCATTATTTATAAACTGAATTGACGACGGTTTTTCCATTGTCTCCCGGTCATGACAGGGAGCATACGGCGGGTGTGACCGGTCGGCAGGGAATGCTCTCTCCTCCATGGCGCCATATCCCACCTCTGATGTTTTGGAGGTCCTTGTTTGCCCTGCTCCAGTTTTGTATTGTTTTATAGACTTTTGATCTTGAATACTGTTCGTTATCTTCATATGTTTCATACAAGAGTTACTCGGACTTACTGCCATCCTTGAATATGTCAACTCTATATCCCAGTGAAGTTGAATTAAAACACCACAGAGTTTGATACATATGTTTCATATTTGGACATGTTGCTAACTAAAGACGTTACGGGTCAGCTAGCAAATCAACTGTAGTGTATGACAAACGAGCTGATTTCATCTATTTGTCAACTTCCTTTCTACGTAAGATTCCGCCTACCTGGTCAAATTGATATAGAGCTCACGACGATCGACAGGGGATGTTTCCTTCTATAAGGCACATTATCCCACCTCTGCAATGTCCAAGGGTCTGTATTCTATGCATTATTTACGGGGTGTTTCTTTCTTTTTTAGATCAATTTATTCTCGTTTATCAGTTTCAAGTTTTTTTCATTTGACATGATTTAATAAAAATCTTTTCAAAAGTTCAAATAATATTGAATGGGAGATTAATTTATTAAATGTTATCCATGTAGAATTCTTATAGGATTGACTTACTTATTTCAATTTATCAAGGAAGGTTGCCAAAGGGAGAATTGCTATCTTATTCTATGTAGTAAAAATTCTTATATTATTTTCATTTAAAGAAATGCTTTGAATATTTGTTTTCCTTAATTTTCGAAAGAATTACCATATATAATAAAAGAAGTATCAACAAATTAACAAATTAAATTTAATATCTTGGTTCAAAGAATAATTTAAGTTATCGTGTTGTAAAATTTGCATTTACCCCCCCCCCCCCCCTAGAAAATTCAAAATTTACAACATGATAAGGGTGTACTTTCCAAAACTCTTATGCATCTCTCAAAAAGCCTGTGGCGGCCTTGTGTTGTGTTGTTTTTTTCTATCAGATTTTAATTCATAGGAAGCATACTATTATGCGTGTGAAAACCTCACTGAGTGTGTAAATGATTAAAATAAGATTACTTTATTTACAAAGGAAATACGGATCATTTCATGTTGATTACGATAACCAGGGCGAGCGAAACATTAAAAATACATGCAAATGCAAACTGATGATACGAAAAGCCAGTGCCTGTTTTTATTATAATTACTTAGTAATTAATTAGTGTTACTCGAAAGATTTAGATGACCTAAGAAGAGGTCAAAGGAGATATTATAGATTCTGAGCCATTCGAACCTTTTTTCCACTTGAAGTACATGTTTTTAGCAATATTCTAAATATAAAACTTTCTACACCAGAGGCCAAGTTCTGAATTGAATCAATCAACTTGATTGACGTAAAATTCTGCTTGCTTCGTCATTGTTCGTTTATAATTTGGATATTGCCTTTTCACTTACTTGTAAATGAAGTTGAGAGCGCATTAATAGATATTTCACACATTTCACTAGCAGAGACATCTTGCGTTATTGATAAAATAATGGGGTATTTTCATGTTTTACATTGGCTCTGTTTTCTCTCGATTTTATTCGAGACCTTTGGTGAGACTCTACCAGAAAAACAATCCAATAAAATGATGTCAAGTGCCACGACTGGAAAAGACCTCTTTCTGGATATTCTGAATAAGGAAAGCTTGGTGCGATTGTCAATGGTGCAAAAAATTCAAAGTTTGACAATGGATGTCATTGATAATAAAAACGATGTCCAAGCTTGCAAGAGGAATATGATTGACATAAACAAGAAATTGAATGCACTGGAAACTAAAAACCAAAAACTGGAAGAAGAAAACGCTAGATTGCAGAAAGTATTTCAGACTATTCCTGTCAATGGAGACAGCGACAAATACCTACAAGTGATTGATGGTACTCTGCAGAAGTTTTGGACCGTGTTCAATGAAACAATGGAAACTATTCGCCTAGAACAAAATGCAAGTAGCAGCCAACTGCTGAAAATTACATCTCATCTCTCGGCAGGTAATGACTGAGTGTATAATTACGAGCATTCTCTGTAATGACTTAAAATTTTATATAGGAGCTTCGGCATGCTTAGTCTCAGAATTTCTCCAAACTCTCTATGATAAAAGTCTTTGATATCCTTAACTAACAAATGTCGGTTGATATGGATTATAGTTACCACTTGCCTAGAGATGTATTCTTAAAAGTTTCTCTAGAGCATATGTGGCAGTAATGTGTTTTTGTGAGAATGGTTTGTTTGCTTTTCCTAAATGTTTTTACTAAGGCTCAGTAAAGATTTAAAGTGGCTGAAAATCTCAATTTTAAACCCATTTTTCCGGCTGTTACCATGGCAACTGAGACACATAGTAAAGAAATTTTATTTGCTAAATGTTTCTGGTGTCAAATACTAATAATGGGTGAAGTTTCATCAAAATCGATGAGCATGCGTGGCAAAGAAATTTAAGTGGTTACAGAGAATGATTTTTAATTGTTATATATATACATGTATGCACACTTTTTGATTTTCCATAAACCTAATTTTAAATTATATAACATAATAACTATACTGTTTATTTAATATTCAAATTAAATCTAATCTGCATCTCCGTGAAATTTGGATAGAAATGTATAAACGTTTAAATTAGTAAGCTTATATATATTCTAGAGGTAAAAATCTTTACATATATATATAGTAATGCACATTCAGATAATTTTGCCTTTTTCAATTGAGTTTAACATTTTATCTTTTAAAAGATAAAGAAGAAAACTCTTATTTCAAAGTTTTTGTCTATTTTATGAAAGATTAAGTGTAGAGGCAAGGGTTCCAATGTAACTGCTAAAATATTTAACAATAGTAACCAAAGTACGGATCATTGCCGTCAAATGAGGTCTTATTTGTGAAGAATGTAGATTTGGGACATACCTTTTTTCTGGTGCCCATGTTATTTGTTATCGCTTTATATGGAATTATTTTCCCTATCACATATTGATAGGTAACGCGCCAAGTTTCATTAATTTTACTCTATTGCAAATATTTGAAAACAAAATTTTTATATCGATGTACGTGCAGTTTTTTCTTCAATTTCTCATTTTGTAAGAGACAAAACATCAAGACTGTTGTATTAATTTTTTTCTTCACAAATTTGTTCTTGAATTTTGTTACATGTATAATTGTTGGTCTTTGCTCTCTAGGATGGACACGATTCGGAGACTCAGAATATTGGTTAGGAAAGCAGAAAGTCAAATGGTCGACTGCAATCGTAAGATGCTCTAAAATTTTCTGTAAACTGTTGAACTTAGCTTCTTGTATGTTTCCAAAAGTTGAATAATTCAACAAAGAAATCAGCGACAAAATAGGCTTCATCCTTTCCCTCTTAGATTGTTATTTTTATTATATGCGAGGTTATATAAATTTAACAACTATGCATTTCTATGCGAAGAAAGGATGTTGCAAGAATTAATTAGTATAAAGACTTTCAAAATTAGCTGGGTAATTCAAAAACAAACAAAACGTGTTTGTAAAACACTGATGCTCCCGTATGGCAGCTAATGGGGATGGTTTATGTTTCTCTAATGCAAGGTAAGCTTCAAGTCAAGTCAAAATGTCAAAAATTGTTGGTATCCAAAGGTAGGTTTTGTCATAAGGAAGACACCTGTGATATATATAACTCCTGTACTAACTGTTCAAAAGTTATGGCCAAGATAAAAAGTCTTTAAAAAGTGGATCAAATTTTAAGGATATCCGATCCTCAGCCAGGAAGGATAACTCCAAAAATTAATATTTTATTTGAAATCCATCAAAATGAAGCTTGAAAGTCAAATTTTTCATGCAACAATTTTCATTCTATTAATCTTTATAAATTCAAGGTTTTTGGAAGTCTTAGAAAAATTCTTATAAAGTTGATATTTGTACACTATAAAAGAAAAAAATATTAATACAGTTTTTTAGAAATAAGATTTTCTTGAATCCAACCTTATAGATACCAATGTTTATTAGCATGATGAGAAATAAGAAGTGATCTGTGTGGTGTCTTGCAATGAAAGCAAAAGCCTTTTACACTATATATTATAGAATACATGACGGAAATAGAAGACGAAAAATATCAAATAAGTATAAAAATCATAGCAATTTCTCTGAATGCCTGGATATTTATCGTTTTTTAACCTAAAATAATTATATTTGTTGATCAATTTGCAATTAGAAAATGCATTGCTGATATTCCAATTCGCCTTTTCTGCAAAATTATTGGAGATTTGACAATTTTCCCTATATAATATGATTAACTTTAATTTTTAACTTTCTAGAAATACTGTGGATAAATTTACATAACTTTTTGGATTTAGAGATACTTTTATGAATAATTTTGATTACTTAGCTGCTAATTAAATGTATATAAACCTGGGGATCGGACTACCCTAATGTTGAGGTAAAAAGATCAGAAATATTTAAATACCATTGAAAGGTCTTGTCTTGTATTTTTTTTTTTTGTAAAAGTGGGCAAAACTCCATGGTCAAGAAGTCAAAATTGGTGGTACCTGAAGAAAGGTTATGTCACAAGGGATACATCTGTGGAATATGAAAGCCATAGCCCCACCCACTCAAAAGATATGGACAAGATTAACGATTTTGCGGACAAATGGCAAGACCTTTCTTTGGGGACCACCGAATTTGACCTCCTAACCTTGACCTTTGAGTCTGACCCACTTTTACTAAAAATTTTCAGACTTTAACTTTGCTCATGACGTTTGAGCATTTGGTGCTAGGCCTTTAATGGTCCATATTGTGACAAGATCTTTCAATAGGTATAAATATTGTGACCTTATTACCTTTACCTAAAGGTTGACCCGCCATATCTTTTGAACAGTTTGTACTAGGGCTTTCATTTTTCACAGGTATATTCCGTGTGTTAAGATCCTTCTTTGAATACCAATAACTTTGACCCTGACCTTGGAGTTTTCCTTGCATTTGAGAAACTTCAACCCTCTTTAAAAACTGCCATACGGGATCAACACATCTTGTCCAAAACATACGGCTCCAGTTCAGTTATCAATCTACATATCTTTTTTTCATTTTAAAAAAGAAATAGTTTATCAATGAATGATATCGTAATGTTACTGAGTAATCAAGGTGATCGCATAGATGTATGCAGAAAATTAGGAAACTCAGAACCTTTCTTCAGAATAATAATGTCTGACGAAAAATGACATATGCTCTCTTAAACTGCTGTTTCCACCAAGTCAAAACGTAAACGATGCGATTTCGGCCTCTCCAGATGAAACTTAACCGATAATTTAGGAGAAAATTTACTTTCTAGAAAATTGAACTGTATAAACTTACTTTTAAATACGTCAGAGATAACGGAGGGGATATATATCATGATTAGAAGCTGCCAAAACAGTAAATATTTTTGTAAAGGAAGCACTGACCCCTTTTGTAACATCTGTAAGGTCACGACTCTCATTATCAGTCAACCAAGTTCTGCTACCGTTTGTAAACTCTTCTCATGTTCCGTGATAAAAACTCTGATCTGCGGCTGATGCTCTGCCTCTCTCGTTTATCAATCCATTTTTCGATGATTAGTGTTAAGATATTCAGTGGCAATTCAAGGCTGTGCTCATTAGTTTTTGCAATTTATACAAAGTACATAATTATTAGTACATTAGAACATAGCTATGTAGAAGGAACTTATTCTAATTTTTTTTATTATGATAATTATTCTTGAACGTTAGAATACATATTATATAATACTAATATCACCTTATCATCCTCAAGTTATAATGTACATGCCCATGCTCAACAAATTAAAACTTTCACAGATTACAGCTTAGTTATTACCATTTCCTGTACTATGTATAGAAGAATCTCAAACTAACATATATATTATTTCTTCATTATTTTTTTATTTTTCGAATAATTTTCTTTTTTTCTATTTTGTAACTGCATTATTTGTAATTCTTTGATTTAATAGGAAGAATGTGAAAAGATTGGAGCAAAACTTGTTGAGATCGAGTCTTCAAGCGAGAATAACTTCGTTCGCATGCTTGCTCAAAAATTAACAGGTTAGTAAAAAGAAATGAAGATGTTAAGAATAAATTCTCTAAAGTTATATTCCAATTACTTTGATGAGATCCTTAAATGGAATGTTTAAGTTAAATAATGATTGGAAATTTTACACATCGTTTATTCTAATTTATTTAGGGAAAAATTTTGATTAATTTTTTTTTACATATAAAAGTTTCTTTATCGATCGCGAACAGAAAAAAAATGGCAGATTTATTTTGAGGGTGACAACTGGTGTCAAACATCGGATAAAATGTATATTAGTGATTTATTGAAACGGAATAAGTACTTATTTATGATTATGGACGTTCAACAAATAAACAAACAAAAAGAGTGTGTACATTGTAGAAAGTAATTTTTTTCAAACATTTTTATTTCTAAAAAAGCATGTGTTTTGCTAGATGGTTGTAATTTTTTTAACGATAATTATTTTTATTTCCAAAAACGCAAGTGTTTGGCTAGATGCTTATAAATTTTTCAGGTGCTTTTTTATTATAAATATTTATTTCATTAACTCTTAAGAGTAATTTTTATTGCTTTTTCCCAAATTGCGAGTGTACCTGTCTAGGTTGTCTACTCTAACGTTGCATTTCTATTTTCCATCAAGGCGAGTGTTTGCTTAGGCGCCACTGATCGTCTACTCTAACGTTGTATTTCTTTTTCCATCAAAGTGAGTGTTTGGTTAGGTGCCACTGATCGTGAGGTCGAGGGTCGATGGCGATGGGCACACACTAACTCACTCCTGACATACAGTGACTGGGATGTCTCGCACAACCAACCAAACAACTACAATAATCAGGACTGTCTGTGTCTCTACGTCCCCTACGGTCGCACTTGGTGTGATGAACCCTGTGACAAGAGAGATTATCAGTACATCTGTGAGAGAGATGCTTTGTAACTGTTAAATTCTTTTCAGGTTCTCTTTGTATATGAGTTTATTATCACATTTTTTGTGTGATAAATTATTGAGATCAGAACTATAGCCTGACTGCCCCAAGACAGATCGAAAGATGCAACTGAATCGGTTTTATGAACCTGCTCGAAAATTATATATTATTCGTGGGATTATGTACTAGCAGCCTACGAGAGCTATGAGAATAAATATACGCTAGATGTGTCATGTTATCGCAAGTCGTTACACATCGTTGTTCTTATTACTTTTTTTTTATCTGTGTTCATGCTCTAGAATAAGTTGAGTGAATACATTAGACGGAATGAGACCAATTTAATTTCCTGCGTGTGGTTCAACAGTGATGATTATATGATGAAGTGAAATAAATTAATACAGAAAGAGAAGTTTCTCATATAAAAAAAGAGAAATAGGACATTCAACGAAAAACCAACAACTCTGAAAGTAGATTTATTTACTTGCCTGCTTATACTAGCAATAATACTTTTCTATTTTTTCACCATCACAATAGACTTTATAGTAGATTAGCATATGATGTCCCAATCTCTTCCAATAAGGTAGGTTGGTACTTGTACTTCCAAAATTTTCTGTCAAACTGATAATTTTTTAATTTGAATACTTTAAATAAGTCATACACTAATTAAAAACCCATAAAATACATGTAAATTTTCATACAGCTTGTCTCAAAGTATATACCTCTAAAAATTCAACAGCCAAAATTTAACATAAAGAAATGTGATATCATATTTTATTTAGCCATGCACCAAATCACTTCAAATTTATGATAAAACTTATGAAAATCAAAAATATTTATTTGCCAAGAGAATATTTGAAATCTTTATTGGAAAACATTAACAAATAGATGTTGAATCTGTCCACATATTTCCAAAAAAAAAATTATCTTAAAATATCTTTTATTTTTAAGAGTTTTCAAAGTGTAAACTGTTTACACGCCATTTTTCTATAAAGAACTATATGCGGTATATTGCATATATTTGCCCCCATAAAGGTCATATTTTGAAAACTTCCTGAAATGTGCTGAATTCAATAAATTGTATGAGAAATATAAATTAACAGAAAATGATATAGTGTCAAAGCAGTGTATTCACAATTTTTGTTTTTATGACGTCACAAACTAGTCCGATTTCATATCCTTTTTCAGAAAGAGGACAAAATGGACAAAATTTCAACAATTTTAGCTTTAAAATTTATAGAGCGCAAGTTTGTTCAGGAACAATATTGACATACTAGTATTTCATTGATATTATCATTTTACACATTATATCAAAATATTGATCCTGAACACACATGCGCTCGGTGACTTTTACTCAAAATATCGACAAAATATGTACATTTTTCTGTAAAATTCATAAAAAACTGAAATTTACGTCATGTTTGTGACGTCATTACGTACATATGGCTTCATTACTTATGAAAATATTCAGTGCTTTGAAGTCAGCATATACTCCCCTGTTTGAGAACTTAATTAAATATATCTCCATCAAAGTTTGGTTTGGGGGGCAAATATTGGTTATTACCGAATAAAGTTCTTTAATATGAATGATATCGCAAGTTTAAAAAAATACATACTTTATTATGGTCGACCAGATAAGTTTAACAAAATAGCCTTTTGAACACGTATACCCTCAGTTTTGGAATATAAATTTTTCGATATTATTTGAAAACTTTTTAAAAATGTAAAATTTAAAAAGATGATATAGGTTTAAATTAAACAAAAATAGATCTCAAAATAGTTTGTTAAAAAATTTAAAAGCTTTAAGGTAGTTCTATACTCGGCACTAAATGGGCTCAATCTTTAAAAATCTGATTTTATAAGATAGACATACATCCCAGCAATGGATAGACACAAGAAAAAGTATATGTCAACATGTTCACTTTTTCGCTATAGCCTATCGGAGTATATACCCCAAAATGTAAAATACTGAAATTTTACCTATCCTAGATTTTGTTGTATATAAATTAATTTAAGTCTAAATATTCAACTTTAATACCCAAAATAGAGTAGAAATATGTTAGTAAACAATATAATATCATTGTTTTGCATGAATTATTATAAATAGATGCACTTTGTTAGGCTATTGTATCAAAATTTAATGAGAGAAATTATGCTTCACAGGACAATCTCGGTCATTTAAAAAAAAATTATGGACTCAAACTTCGTAAATTTGCATTATTTTTTCTAAATTATATTTAAGAAAAATAATAAGCTTAAAAAAATTATATGTTGACGCATTACTTTTCGTGGTATGAGCTCTACACTAAAGGGACCCCCTATTTTCTTTCTTCCAGAAGTAATATATTGCCACATATTTCTGTAATACTTTTAATGTTTGAGTGTATACTTGTATTAACAAGGTTGTGCATAATTTAAAACAATAATTATACACTCTCAAAACCTATTGTCACTAAAATTTATCTTATTTTACTCAAAATAAATAAATAAATAAAACACACTTGTCTTTAAATTTGAGACGATGAAAATGAAAGTAATTCATTGATTCTCAGAAACCGGATGATATTGCTTAAGAAAGTAACGAAGTGTTCTGCAAGTGAATCAACATTTGTCAAATACTTATTCAAAAGATAATTTTGCATTGGGATTCGTGGGTAAGCACGTTGGGGGAGGGGGTATGTGTTTTATGCAATAATTATTATTCAAAGTAAATTTTGTAATGTTTGATTAGTAAAATCCATAAATTGTCTAAGTCAAATCGTAGTCATTACTTTTCTTCCGAATTATCACTATTAGCTTCAACTTGGCCGCCGACAATAGTCGCCTCGATAGTTTGATACATGTTCTGATGGAGCATGTATATGGTCCGTGTTTTCGGCGCGGCATATAAAACATGCATCATTCACAGAAATATTGTTTATTACCTAATTATTTCGTTGGTCCCAGCCTTCTCTTTTTAATCAATTTATCCTTAAACTGTAGAATATGTGTTTGTTGACGCGACCGACTTCGAGCAAAATCGTTACCGGATATTTAAAACGCTAAGTAAAAGTCAAACCAATATAGAAAAAAAATCTCATCTCGTAAAAAGGAAGCGCGGTTCCGGTTTTACTATTCGTAAATGACGTAGTGCGAGTATAGAACTACTTTAAGTTCATAAAGACAATTTTTTTTTTGTGTCTGCTTATATACTGCAGTACTAAATGACACATAGATTCTATGGATGGAGTGCAATGTATTAATTTCCATAAATAATTATGTTAAATGCTTAGTATGCACAATGACACTATTATAAACAGAATTCTATATTGGCGTGTAAAAATTAAAACCGGATCCGTAAAAGTAAGGAACTTCCTTAATCGCTCCCGCTCTTCATTAGGAGGTGCAAATTAAAAGAATTTGTCTGACTTTCATTTCTCATACGACTTATTTTATTTTATGTAGAAACAAAGGTCTAGCAATTGCTAACAAAATCATTATTTTGACGTAGAAAAGTTGAAGTCATATTGTTTCTTACATAATTTATTTTCTAGTTGGCTCTAATCGTCTGTAGTCAGTAAATCATTCAAATATAAAACAGTTGTGGGAGACTCTGTGCATAATCGTCATACATGTATAATTAAATGAATGCAAGTAGGAATTTAAAATTAATAATATATAGTTAATATATCTAAATGTCGAGCTGAAGGCCTACGATAAGTTTTTTCCTCTTCTCATGTAGAAGTTTGTTTTTTTAATAAATTCTGCTTCATATGAATATATGAACAAGTCGTTTAGCGTCTCTCGGAATTCCAACAGTTTGTTTGAAGACTTAGTCTCCAAAGACTTCATAAATTTTGTCAATGAGGTACTCCAGCAACCTTTTAGTGTCAACTCCAGAGTACCTGTGTATAGAATGCATAGCATCAGAGTGATCTTTTAAAACTTAAGATAAGGGAATTTCCGATTTACATTTTTTTTTTGTAAAAGCGGTTGTCTATAAAATCAAAAAGCCTAGTTTGTAATTTATCGCGAAGACTGGTTGTATAAACTTGTACAAAATCGTCAGTTTTTGTGTTACTTATTTTGTTTTAAAAAATGGTAATGTTATATTTTCTACGTATGAGTTCTTTGGAGTTTTTGAGAATCTACTTGATTTACACCAATTCTAGAATAAGCTGTAGCACAGTATGTCTGAAATTTTCCTCAATAGCAGTTAACATCTTGGTAAGTAGTAAAGACAGTGGCTCAGTAGAATATTTTTGCAATGTTTCTCTGTTAAGGAGGTTGGCTACTGTGCACAAAAGTATTGAGAAATTTTTGTCAAGTATATTTTTAGAATCTACACACATAACTTTATGAAAAATCAAAACAAAACATGGGGGCCAGTGCCCTTGGTTTCGCACTACGTAGCAATTAGTATGACTTTCTTTGCACAATAATAACAACATCGAATATATAAATCATTTTCATAGTATCCTCTGTAATATTTTTTTATTCAAATAGATTACTGGATCAAACACAGTTTTGATCCAATTCAGGCTGAATGTAAAAGTAGGAATCCAAACTAATCAATACTGAATACTTCAAAAGAGAAAAATTTGATCTTTTTCTTCTAAAAAAAACCTTACGTCACAAAATATAGTTCCTCACTTAATGTTTTCGGTGTGGAATTTCATTAATGAGTTTTAATATAGTTTAATAAGCATTATAGAATCCAAATTTATTGAAGAAGTAAATAGAATTCCTAAAATAGAAGTCACAATAAAAATCAACTGAAAAGATTTTTATGAAGTTTATGAATGATATATATGAAGTTAACGAACATTATTCAAGCTCAAAAGTCCATAAAACAATACAAAACAGGAGCGGAGCAAACACGGACCCACAAACATCAGAGGTGGGATCAGGTGCCATGAAGGATTGAGCATCCAATAAAGATAGGTTATATCGATCAGCATTGAAATTTTAGCCATTGCAAATTTTAACGAGTATTTATAAACATTGACAAATACTGTAAAACTGCTGCCTTCTAGTTCCGCTGTTTAAGGGTTAATTGAGCAGATATTAAAACATTTAAAACTTCATTATACACTTGAAATTCTTATTCTTTTCTTGCAAACTTCGGGTAGACAATATATATGTTGGTGTGATACGAGTATTTTGACAAAATTTAGAATGTCATGTCCCTCTGGTATTACATTTTTGAAGAATATTTTTGTATTCGTGGAACTGTAGCAGATATTTCGTATCC